GATTGGCAGGCGGTTTAGAATGTTGGTATCTACGTCGGGGGTTATGTTCTTCCAGCTTTCCGTGTTCGGAAGAAAGAGAGATCAAACATGTGACTTTCAAATTTGGGGTGTAGACCCAACATAGAGCTAGATGGTTGTGGTTTTTGTCGGCAGAATATTAGTGTGGGAATGCACAAGAGAATTTTTGTGGATTAGTTTCCTTGATATGCGATCAAGGGTCTGTTTTCTTTAGATATAGGTGGGTCAAGTTCCGGATTGATGGTTGGGGAATTATGGACGAGGTAAGTGGTAATCCATTTGTTTCAGGATATAAAATATGTGCCATGAATGAACTGTCATAATTATTGTCTGTGCGTCTGTGCGGGGTTCTTAACATTAGAAGTGGTTATGATTGGAAATTTCTGCGGTCTTCATTTTAGATTCAGAATCTCTTAGGGTTTGCTTAGTCCTTATCTAGAAGATCATCTTGTGTGTGTTATACATTCCAAGAGTCAGTGATGGTTTATACCTGGTTGAGCCGGTTTGAGATATGGTTTGGTTGAAACACCAATGAGTGGTATTTCGAACTTTAAGTGAGGGAGAACTAGGTATTCTGCTTGGAGGATCATTGATCTGTTCGAGTTTGTGGTGTCAGAATAAAGGTTCATAGGGATCTACGGTGTGGGTATGCAAGACTTTGATTCAAGATTTAGTCAAGTGTATAGAGCAAGTTGCTATCAGATGTATGTGTTCAAGAAATACACAAGTTGTCTCACAGCAGAAAGTAGTTAGCCAAGGAGCTCGTTGTAGCCATTGGTCCTTTTAGGATGCTAATGAATAGATGAGGAGGTGCTAGGATCGCTCAGGTTGAGTATTGGTTGTTGAGGGATTTATCAGCTCGTTGTATGGATTGCTATTTATAGTATAGACTGGGCAGTTGTCGATCGGTAAATCAGTTTTAGAGATGGGTATGTTCAGATCCGCTTGGGTTTTGGTCCAGTAGTGTATTGGTTCATTGCATTAAGTGTCAATGCATCCTCAATCATTGGTTATTCCGTTCATCATCAAAGCGGAGATTCTTCGGAAGTTTTGAGTTGTATAGGTTGAAGTTCAATGGATTCATCAACCTATCGTCAAGTTCAGATTAAGTTTGGAAGATGTCCTTGGTTATTAGGAGTCTAGAATTTGGGACAGTGTTGTTCAATTTTCCCATACGGGACATTAGATCTACGTAGAATCTAATTTTTTGGAATGTCGTGCGGGCAGGGTTGATGATTGGATGTATGGCCTGGGTTGTGTTTGGTTAGTGTCAAAAGGGATGTTGAATGGGTTTCCTGTAAGACAGTTGGTTGATGGTCGAGTATCTTTAGACCCAGTGGCGTTGGTCGTGAGTCTTCAGGCTGGTAACGGAACGACGACAATATCAGCGTAGTACCGTGAGCTTATCGTTTTAGTGGTTAAAAGGTGTCACGATGGATCGTGAACCAGTGGATGTATGATTCCCATATGCGAGACCCAATAGTCATTTGGTTAAGACTCTTAGGTCTCGGATCGTTAGTCTTATTGGCATGGTTGGATGTCAGTGCATTGTTTTTAGGAGTCGGGAGACTTGGTGACCATCTGGTTTGGATCATGTGGTCATAAAAAGTTATTTGGTTGATATATTATTTGTGCACCGGAAGTCGCTTAATGAATCTTTCTATGGTGGAACCCGTCTTCTTGTGGGGTGTCTATTAGGAGTTTTGTTTCCAGTGTGAGGTGTTGGTTCTGAAATCTCGAGTCACGAAGTTTGTTGTAGATGTCTCGACTGATTTTTCAGGTGGATGTACACCTGAGCTGATGAAGGATTTAGATGCAAAGCGAGGTTCTTGGATTGACAATCCTTATGCATTTTGTTACCATGGATTTCATCACCAAGTTACCTCGGACGACCGAAGGATTTGATGCAATTTGGGTTACAGTGGACCGGGGGTGAGTCCGAGTGTTGTCAATGGATAGATGAGTTGGGCTGTCAGAGCCGAGTAGGAGTGTAGTCTAGTTTAGTATCTGATCAGTTAGTTTTCGTTACGATGGTGCACTTATGTGCGGATTAGCATGACAGTGTTTGGCCGAGAAGGTTTTGTGCTAATCAAATTTGCGGGATTTTAGACAGCTTGGTTGTTGTGAGGGGTTGCATCATGAAGTGGAAGCGAGAGATGATTTCGAGGACAAAATCTAATTTAAGCAGGGGAGAATTGTAACATCCTGTTTCCTGTCATTTTTTATTTCAGGGTCGTGGGCCGGAAGTCAATTATGTAAAGGCTTTGGGCCTTCAGGAGGTAAAGTTTAGTCACTGAATTTGAATTTGGTTTGTCCTAAACCTTGTCTTATGAGTATAAGTATGAAATGATAGATTCACTTGGATGGGAACGTATGCACCTTCAAATCTAGGTGGCAAAAAGGTTTCACTCTAATTCAATAAAATGATTATGAGGAAATACTTTCGCTAATAGATTTTAAGAATTGATAAAAATCTATATGGATATTGGTTATGATTGTTGCATTCTCAAATTCACAATATGATTATGGAATCCCTCTTCATTTTTTGAAATGTGAGGAATGGAAAGAGTTTTTTTAAACTTTAGAGAGATATATCTATCAAGTCTTGAAGAGTTTAAGCACACACACACAATCCAACTAAGGTGTATAAGCTTAAGAAGTCTAGTTGGAGACTTATCGAGGCATCATGTAACAGAGATCTGCACTTCCTTAAGAAAGTCAAAGGGTGTTGATTTCTAGAAGTCTAGTTGATTTATGGGTACATGTCAAAGCTAATGGGAGCATAATTGTTTTGCTGGAATTGCATGAGGACAATATTTTTCACAGGAAACATTTTCTCTAGGTAAATATTTTGCTATGGTATACCTAGGGAGAAGGCACTCATATTTCAATTCGAAACTAAAGGTTTTGATTATATAGTTTAACAGAACTTAGTCAAGACATATATGAATATCATTTTGAAATGGCTCAACCTAAAATATTCGATATATGGAAATATTATAGCAAGAGATTGAACATATATCAAATCCTTATGTACGACATAATGAATCGAGTCCCATATTCTTCGGATATACGATCGATCACATGTGATATAATATTTGTGGATTCTAAAATTTTCAAATGCCTTTAGCATTGTGTGAAAAGGATTAGAATTTTGTGTGACTAAAGTTGGTAAACAACTGTCAAGAACATTATGAGGTCTTACCAAAGACTGGTTGATTGTGGACAGTTGGAAGTGTGATATTATTAGGACAGACCATAGTGACACTTTTTCGAATGAGATGATTCTTGATCAAAATTGATGGTCATATGGGATTATGAAAATGTTTCCATAATGGGAGATGGTTGTTAAATCTACATGTGAGTTGGAAGCTTTAATGCAAGAGAAGTGTTCAAGGAGTGTACCTTGAATTCGAGACTCATAACCATGGAACTGTTTCAAGTAACAAGTTCCAGTGGAACATTCTGTGATATCGAAGGCTCGGTCTCTATGACTTTAGAACCTCGACATCATAGAAGATCAATTTATGTATAGTTGGAATTCGACTACATCTTAAATAGTGATAAGAATTTTGAATTGTGAAATGAGCACCATAAGAGTAATGTCCAATCGCTCTGTTTACAAAGGAAGGACCGTCGAGAGGCATAATATGCATGTTCATAACATGGTATGAATGATGTTATCTAATTCAACTGGTTAGTTGATTACTCGAAACATTATACAGTAAATAAATTTGTAATTGTTATGGTGATTAAATAATATGGATTTATTTATATTCAATGGGCATGACACAATAGTTAATTAATTTATTATTGTTTTTCACTTTGCATGTTTACTTCCCTGAGTGATGCGACCTAGCTCCGAACCACCTAAGCTACAGAGAGATGGTTGTCGGAATGGAACCTGAAAGGCCACAAAGAAAGAGGAGACATCAGCCGCTCTCCGGGAGGAGGTCCCGGAAAGACGCTCCGACGGTCGAGTTAGTGAGATGAATCTGGAGTGTGGAGGTAGATGTTCGGGGTAGAATAGCTTACCTCTCAAGGCAGAGTAGTCGGACTTTTATACTGAAGATCTTCCTCGGTCCGTACGAGGGACAAGGACTGCGGTTCCGACAGGATCCGCCACTCTTATTGGAGGGCCATGCTCCATGTTTGTGTCCGGCCCAACGATTGGTCCAGGCGATAATGCTCTGACTGCGCTCTTTGTCGCCTGGAGCCATTATCCTTGGACTGTAGCTGAAGGACAATACTTGGCGAGGGCGGACTTCCTACGCGATCGCCTCGCGGGAGTCCTGGGCCGCTGAGGCGGCCGAGTCGCTGGCTCGACTTCTCGCTGTGAGCGCCTCGCCGAGGGTTCTCTTGCTTATGGCCCGCTCTGAGGGGCGCGTCATCAAGTCCCCCAGTCCAGTAGTCATAGTGTATGCTAGCTAGATATGATGTTCTGGATCTAACTGTCGGTGCACGTGTCATGCTTTTACTCAGTCGTCGCTTCGTTTCCGGTGATGTGACATTACGACGTGTGCGCGTCGGTTACGTCAGCTGTGTCAGGGATTTTCGTAAATCCCGCTTTTTTCCCTTTTATTGTTCCCAAGCGGTTTTATTTCTCAGTTTCTATCTATTTTCTTCATCCCTTCTTCTTCTTTCCTTCTTCTGTGTTTTGCCATGGCTTCCTCTAAGGGTTTGATCCCCAGCTCCGTCGAGTTCGTCACCCTCCAAGAGCCTTATGGCCTTACTCCGGCTAACGAAGTTGAGTTTCCGGTCTCTAGATCTCTGATTACCCGGCCCCCTCCTGGGAAAGTGGGCATTTATCTGAAAACCTTTGATGCCGGCCTTCGCCTTCGCTGACTGATTTTCAAGAGGAAATACTCCGGCGCAATGGATGCAGTATTCAAAAGGATGAAAAAAGGGATGGGGGCCTCTCACTTGTTTCTATGTTCTCGCGCTTGTTTCCTTATGTTTGACATACGATTGATATGTGTCGAATGCTCCGTCTCCATGGACTCTGTACTGCGGGGAAGTTATCAAGGAAAGCTGGAGCATCACGTGGTTCCCCTGTACAAGACTTTGCCTCCCCCCGCCGTTTAGGTGTTGTTACCTCGGCGCCCCCTCAACCAGTGGGAAGTTCTACTGCGTCGGAGAGCCAACCAGGTCCCCACACTGTTGTAAACCCTGCCACTATGTCTCGTCCTCCTGTTGAGCCGATAACTGATAACGCGGTGGACAACAAGATCAGGATTACTGTCAGCGTTCGTCGGGTTGCAGAAAAGAGGAAAGTTGTGCAAGCGATGAGTGGGCCGGCGCCTGAGGGTAGTTCAGGACCTATTGGGTGGCGTGTGATCCAGCACCGCGACCTTATGCGCCTGCTTTCTTTTGCGCCGTCTCATTCAGGGGATGTGTTAGTTATACCCGATGATGACGTTAGGGTATCGGAGGGGCGTCTCATCAGCCCATTGTTCGTGTGCCAATCTCTCCGAGTCCTGGTTTCAGCCATCCGTCTTCGAAGGGTAGTCCTGAGCGGTTGTTTCAGGAGTCTGCTGCAGTAGGAGTACTTCACAGTACACCTCCGTTTGTTCCGGGATGGAGTTTGCGATCCGAATCCCGTTTGTCTGTGCGTTCTGTTGCGTTGGACTTTACTCGCCATGCTCTTCCTCCTGTTACCGTCGATGATATGGATTCGATGAGTAACGCCGTTTTGGCTCACAACCTTGCTTATGTCGCTGCACAGGCCATGACATACTTGGCCGCTGGGTCCCGCCGTGTGCAACGGTTCGACGAGCTAGAGCAAGCACACTCTGTTCTTTCGGCGAGCGAGGCTGGTTTACAGGGCAAGGTGGCGGGCCTTGGTGCTACCGTTCAACGATTGGAAGGTGAGAACAAATCTTTGGTGTCGGAGAAGTTGGTTTTAGAAAATGTTCGTAGTGCTTTGGAAGGCCAATTGGAATCTCTAACCCAGGCGAATGAAGGCCTGATGATACAAAATGAAAGTCTAGAGCGGGATCTTGTTGACCGCGAGCGAGAGTTGGAGGTATTAAGGGCTGACCGTAATTGGCTACTTCAGGTTGGCTTTGTGCATGTGATGGATAAACTTCTTGAACATCCCGAATTTACAGGTGGTATTAGCCGTATTCGTCATGCTGCTTTTATTGCTAGCGAAGAATCTGGTTGGACTAACTTGAAAGCACAGGTCGACGCTGGGACTTATGGCCCTTTTGCCAGCGACTCGCGGTCGAGTCATTCTTCGGCTTTGGATGATGCTCTCTTGGCTTTCGCAACCATAGATTTTGCTGGCTTGCTTGGGTTAGGCCACCTGGACGTGGATGGGGTGCGGGTGCTATGTGCTTTTGATGAAGGTGAAGACACTGTGGAGGATTTGGGTGTTGGGGTTGGTGGGGCGGGTGACGGAGTTGAGATTGGTGATGCTGGTGGAGTTGGCGACGGGGTCAAGGTTGGTGATGCTGGTGGAGTTGGTGACGAAGTTAAGGTTGATGATGCTGGTGCTGGCGATGGTGTGTGAAGTTGTCTAGAGCTGCCCTGTTAGGGTGTGAAAAATCTTTTTTGAAGCTTTGTCTTGTCTATTTATGTTTCGAACGTTTTGTGGCCTCTAAGGCCTTTATTGTATCGCATTGGTAATTTTGTTTTTATGGCCCCTAAGGCCCTTATGTATGAATGGACAATGGTTTTGTTTCTTGTTTGCTAGAACATGCTTTCTTGCTTTGGTTATGTTGAACCTTCTGTGTAGGTTGTTTTTTTTGTATGTGTATTATGTATGCTACCATTTTGTCGTGTGCATGTGGATTCGGTAAGTATCCTCTGTGTTGCGTTTTCTATCGTAGAGATATGCTCGTTGCATTTCATACTAAAGATAATGTAATTTATTTTATTTATGTAATTCTGATACATAGTAATTTTGCACTTTAATTCCCTATCGGACTACCCTATGTGTCCGTCTGCTAGTCCGGGTGATCAATCCGGCCACGGGATGTCTTCCTTGCTCTCCCTACTGTATAGGGGTTTACGACTCTACTCGAGAGTGTCATGCCATCGTCCTCCCTTCTTTATAGGGGTTTTCCATTGATCAGAAGTGGAACCTTCTCAGGTACCTTGCGTTCCATGTCCTTGGTATTTGTCTTCCTTCCGGGGTTTCCAGGGAGTATGACCCGTTGGGATGTGCCTCTGTTACTTTGTATGGTCCCTCCCACATCTGGCTCAACTGTGACATCCCCATTTTCACGGCCAAAAAAGACCGATTTTGTTTATGATTTGTTTAAAAATCAGAGTAATGTTTTAAATAAAAGTGTTGCGGAAATTGGTCCCAAAATAAAAATATGATAAAGATTTATCAAAGCATTTCCATAGAAATGTATTTCATTAAAAAGACTCGGGATGTCATGTTCGATACAGATCAAAAGCATAAACAGTACAATATAAGCCTTACTACATTATTTCATATCTACATGCCTATATCTGTAATCCTTCATCCAAAACATCACATCTATGCTCGAACGCCACTACCTGTAATACATGAAACTAAGTGGGTCAGGCTTGGGAGCCTGGTGAGCACATAGGGTTTTCAACCCACAATAAATAAGTTATTTAATTTCATCAACCAACAATAACCCGATTACCCGTTCCCGTTATCCTCACTTTACGTCCCTAAACACCTATCATAAGGGACCTAGCCTAAGGATCATCATCGGGATGGACACTACCGCTAAGGGGGTTCCTCAACAATAAATGTCCTAAAGGCAACTATGAGGGGGATGGAGTACACCGGTGAACACATCGTTCACAAACACCTACAGGTTGCGAGCCTGCTAGCGTTCTACTCGACTGTCTAGAAGAGTCTGTGGTCGTCATCCATACTCCGCTAGATGATAGAAACTACAACAACAACATCGAGGCCTCTCATCATTTTATCACACATCATCTATTACATCTACCCATGTTTTACCCCAACATTTTTGTAGATATAAAATACATATACAGTTTAAATCATTTAAAACATGTATAAAAATCTTTCATCAGCATAGACAACAAGTATTCAGATAATATGCACACATAGAACGTAGTTTATATTAAATACTTCATATCTATGTGTAAGATGAAAGTAACTATGCACTCACTTGTTAAGGTGCTGACTCGGAACTCGGGCAGCGCTTCGTTATCTCAAAATAAGTTTTCCCTTGACAAAACCTAGTATCAATACCACTAGGGTTTAGTCTAACGTTAACCGCGACTAATTAATAGTCTAGCTATTATTATTATTATATAAGCGTTAAACAACACTCTATATAACTCATAATAATAGCCCAAATAATTATTTTAATGACCTAATAACATTACTATAATTATTTAAAAGCTATATTAAAATTTTCATAGGCGTAGCTCACTTACATCGGATTTTAAAGAAAACCGGGCTTCGCTTGGAGCAGCGTTTCCGAACCGAAATACTCTTTTTCTCGGGACTCCGGGAGCCTCGGGGCTTCCTTCGGGTGCTAGGGGGCTTACCTAGGCTTAGGAGGGGGTTAGGACCCTTAGAGAGAGAAAGAAGTTAGAGAGAGAAAATATTTTTGGTGTGAGAAATTGGGCAGCCTCGGCCCTCTATTTATAGCCCAGACTTCGGACTTACGTTGGGCGTACCGAAGCCTTACGCTGGGCGTAAGTTCGGATAAGGTCTCCACGTGTTGCAGTTTCGGTGGTGCTACGCGTTCACTCCTCGTACCACACAAGGCCGAAGTATGCTGGGCGTACTTCATTTCGGACGCGGGGTGTAATGCGAGGGTGGTGTGTCGCAATCCGAAGCGTGTTCCGTGATCAGCGATGGATGGCCAAGATCGGGCCACGTCATCAGTTTCGCTATAGGCTTTGCAAATTCAAGTGCAAACTTTAAAAATTCGTAAGTTTTGCGTACGAGCTCCGTTTTTGACGTTCTTTATATCCACGCGTAGGCGGGAACATACTCTAAAACTTTCGTTTAGACTCCGTCGGCTAATTTTGACTTTATTTTAAAAGTTATATTATTAACAGGCCGGGACAGGATTGGTCCGTTAAAATCTCATAACTTCTTCATCCGACGTCCGTTTTCGTCTGTCTTTTTATCGTTACGCTACTATTAACTAGATCTTCGATTCTCGTTTAGGTTGTGTCGGCTAAAAACCGCTCGATCTAATATTCGAACTTCGGGCTATACACTGCTAAGCCGAAACTTCGAAAAATCATAACTTCTTCATACGAAGTCAGATTTGGGCGTTCTTTTTTATGGACGCTCTCGGTTTAACATATTCTACGACTTTCGTTTAGATCGCTAAGGCTAAAAGTCGCTCTATCGTAAATTCACTATTTACGCTTATTTTTATCCTTTATTTATTATTCATTTATAAATAAGTAATAAGCACACAAATACACATAATTCACATAGTATTCAAATATTTCATTTTTTTATTATTTCAAAAGAGTTACAATAGTTGACCTAGACTATTACATCATCTACTAATGGTTAGCCCCAAAACACGGGCGTTACAATTCTCTCCCCCTTAGGATGATTCCGTCCCGGAATCATGCATCAACAAACAGATGCGGATAGCGACTCATCATGTCACTCTCTATTTCCCAGGTGAGATTCGGCTCATTCGAATGTTTCCAACGGACTAGCACTAAGTCGACCATCTTGCGTCGTAACTTCTTAGTCTTACGGTCAACGATTGCCTCGGGCTCTTCGATCAGCCTCTTATTCTCATCCATCCTTAACTCTGAGATTGGAATTATGTCGGGAACTTCTCACGTGAATTTCCTCAGATAACACACATGGAAGGTGTTATGAATACCATCGATTTTCTTCGGGCAATTCCAGCTTGTAAGCTTGGTTCCCAATCTTCTGAAGAACTTTGAACGGTCCAATAAACCTTGGACTCAACTTTCCTCATTTTCCGAATCTTATAAGTCCCTTCCATGGTGAGACTTTAAGCAAAACCGAATCCCCAACTTCGAAGGTCATTGGTCGTCTTTTCTTGTCAGCATAGCTCTTCTGATGATCCTGAGCTGCTAACATTCTTTCCCTAATCAACTTCAGCTTCTCAGCAGTCTCATGGACTATCTCGGGGCCCATAAACTGCTTTTCTCCAGCCTCAAGCCAACAAGATGGCGTACGACACTTCTGTCCGTACAAAGCTTGATAAGGTGCCATCTTGATGCTCGAGTGGAAACTGTTGTTGTAGGAAAATTCTACTAGAGGTAAGTGCTCGTCCCAGTTCCCTTGGAACTCGAGGGTACATGCTCTCAGCATATCTTCCAGTGTCTGAATCGTTCTTTCGATCTGACCATCAGTCTGCAGATGGTAAGCTGTACTCAAACACAACTTCGTACCCAATTCCTCTTGTAGACTTTTCCAGAACCTTGATGTGAAACAACTATCACGATCGGATACAATCGTTAGAGGAATACCGTGAAGTCTCACAATTTCCTTCACGTAAGCATTTGCAAGCTTATCCATAGACTACCTCTCGTTGGCTGCTATGAAGTGTGCACTCTTAGTGAAATGATCCAC